CTGAGCACTGAGCCGGGCACTGAGCCGGGCACTGAGTCGCGCACGTCGGACACCCTTGGGTGGCTGCTGTGTGCACCTCGTCTGGAGGCTGCGCTCGGCAGCACCGGCGCAGGAGCCGCCGCGTTCACACCTTCTAGAAGTTCGGAAATTGAGTGCGGTGCTAGTTTATTCTCCAGTTTTAATAAAAGCTCGAGGGCTGTCAGTTATGCGCATGGAAGTGGCACGTGAAGTCGACGTACAACACTTGAACTTGCACAGTGATCTGTAGCGTAAGAGTATGATGCTAATAATAAACGTCAGATGGACAAAAGGGGTTAAAAATAAGGGCGTTCCTATCCCTTTTGTAGGTTTAGACTCTCCAGTTTGAGGATATTGACCGCTCATTTGTCAGTGAAATAAGGAAATGTAAGAAAAGGGGGATTTTTGCCTGCTAATAATTCTGCAGCCGTTGAAGCCAACACTTCAAAAGAATAAAGCCTCTGAAGTCACTTGAGGGATGAAATCTTTGCATCCAGGTAGAGGATGGGTTCAAGGTCCTCATGGTTCCCTGAGGTGCTTATAATCAGATGCAGACTTCAAGGCTGGAAGAACTTAGAGAGATGAAGAGTCAGCATGTATTCATGATTTAACACCAGTGAGATTTGGAAAATCTAGAGTAAGCATCACCTTATTTTTAGTTGCTAAGCATCTTAGCAGGCAGAGTGGTTTTGGTGTGAGTTTGCCCTCCATGACATGTTGGAGTTGGAAAGGAGGAAGGGAGAGGAGAAAAGCTTAAGTAGCAAAGAAGCGAGAAAGATACAACAGGAAATGTAGCGAGTGAGCATTGGGGCATTTCTGGATGTTGCGTGACTCTGTGGCCAATCCCATAAAATGTCAATTTAGCAAATAATGTTAATTGGGTGATAGAAAAAAATATGTCAATTTAGCAAATAATGTTAATTGGGTGATTGAAAAAAAAAAATCTTATATACCAGAAGTGCCTGGTGAAGTTTAACCTCTGTTTTAACAGTGAGCAACTGAGTTGGAGCCAGTCTCACAGAGATATGATGATGATGATCCAAGAAATGAAAAGGTGTTTGCCTGAAGAGAAAAGGAGTTCCAGCAAGCCCAGTACCATCAGTGCTCTGAACTATGCCTTGCAGTGTGTCCAGCAAGTCCAAGGTATGTGTGGAGAAAATTTGGAAGAAGAGCAGCTTGGCTTGAATATATGTCTGGCAACAAAGGGCATTAAAACAAAATAGTGCATTCCAGTTATCCTGAAAACAGCTGACTTCCTGAAGCACTGTGATTTTTATTGTTGAGTTTTTTGGTAAATAATCATGTTATCTTTTCTATTGAAATTCCCATCCACTGCTGGTCTTTTCTCAAGCCCCATAGCTGAAAGCTGCCTACTAGTACCTTTCTGTGTATATTGAAAACACAGCATTCTGATCCCACTTTGAAAAACTATTGGGTAGTGTGTGTTTTCCAACAGAACTGTGTAGCTAAAATTGTTCCTCTGCCATTGTGTTCTGTCCTTTCTACTTCCTCATGCATGTTTTCTGTAACATAACTAGGTCACTCCAATAGTATAATCAGTTTTCCTTTTCCCTCTGTCACTACACAGACCTTTCTCATCTCACCTTGGGCTTCACCAAAAAGATGACAAAAGTACAAGAACTGTAAGAAATACTTTCAAAGTAGTCTCCTTACTGACTTGTTTTCTTCTTTCTGTTTTATTTGTTTTTTTTTCCTTCAATTAGCAAACAATGACTTTTTCCGGGCTCTGAATGACAGAAGAGTATTTCAGACAGATGTGGTGACATATAGCATAGAAGAGTTGGTGGCAGTTGCATCTGAACACACTCCAAAAAACACTGTAAGAATTCGGGCACATTCAAGGAGTTCCTCACTTGCTGTTTTCACTCTCTATTTAATCTCCTAACAGTTTGTGGAAATAGAATGTGTAAAATTGAAAGGCCTTTAAGTTTTAGGCAGACAGACCTTTAAAGTTTCTAAGACAGCTGGAATATTTCTCACCTGTCCTGTGTCAGAGTACCCAACAATAGTGAGTGAAAAAAATACTCATTTTTATTCCTTCTTTTTTGGCTTTTTTTTTTTTTTTTGGGGGGGGGGGGGTTGTGCCAGGAGCTACAAGTAGCTCTTTGAGAATTCATTCGCAGCCTAGTAATCTCTTGAGACTGCAGAAAGCTTTCAAGACCAGTCAATTTGGTAGTTGCGAGGGACTTTTTGTTTGTTTGTACTCTGGATTTTTTTTTTCTCACTGTGCAATATATGTCATTCTCTCTGGCTCAGCTTCAAAGAGAAGAGTGTTTCTTGAAATTCATTACTGTCAGATGCTCTATCAGAAATGTTGCAAATGCTTGTTAGTTGAAAAGCTCAGAATATTTTTGTATGTGGAATTGTGGTTAATCCTCTGAAACTTGAGGAGGAGTGTGTGGAGTGATAAGCAGTCATCCTGGACAAATATCTGTGTCAGTTTTGATGCTGCAGTTCCGCTAGCATTTGTGAATCTCAACTATGCCACTATAGCATTGGAGAGTATAGTAGCTCACACACTACTTTAACTGGGTGCTAACTGAACACGTTTTTTAACCTCAGTCTTAGGTCGTGATGTGTAGTTGTTTGGGGTTGATTTGCTTTTTACTCTCAGGACATTACTACCATGATTTGAGGGACAGCTGCCTTTAACATTTGTTTTCCAGGACACATTTGTGGCTGTGTTTTCTTTGCTTTCTGGACGCATAGTGCATATTTCTGAGCAGGCAGCATCTATTCTAAACTGTAAGAAGAAAGTGTTGGACTCCTCCCGGTTTGTAGAGCTGCTTCTCCCTCAGGATGTGAGTGTGTTCTACACACACACTGATCAGTCTCACCTGCCGCTTTGGAACATGGAAACTCAAACAGGTGGGACTTAGCAATGCTCTTAAATACTCTATGAGTATTTCTGTCTTTTCAGAATGAGGATAGAATAGTTTATTTTAAATGCTTATACTAGCAATATACATCAGCAGCATTTGTTCCCTTTCCACTCTGGGAATTGGAGTGGCTGTGGGCTAGTCCTGGCTAGCCTCCAAGAGGCTTAGCACTTACTTGGGGTGAGTAAAAGGCAGATGTTTCATTATTTGGTGCACCGTTTTATTAGTTCCAAATACTGCTGTTTTTTAAAAAGAAACACCTTAAGGTTGCTTAGGTGCTTTGCCGTTATGGTCCACTCACTGCCCGCTGTGAACCGAGCTCACCAAACCCAAGTTTTAAGGTGACTTGCTATTTAATGCTGGATGTACCTGAACTGTGACTTTTCAGTCCTATGTTATTTGTAAGCAATTCAAATGTAGCTTGCATGCCAGGGCTGTGTCTTTTGCTCACCTAGACATGGGGCTGTTCTGGAATCAGATCTAAGTCCGAAGTTTTTGCTCTCAGAGGATGTGAGACACTGGAGATTGTGAATGCTACCATGCCAGGGATCCTGTAACTCAAAAGCTAGTCATGTGCCTACCCAGCAGAGCAGTGCACCCCAATGGAATTGTTGTTTTCTTGGCCATATGTGGTGTTTGGTATATGGCTTATAAAGCCAGGAATTGCCACCTTTCCTTGTCATAGTGATGCACTGAAGAAAGGATTGGGGTTTTTTTTAGATCATACACATCTTCTCTGAATTTAGTTCCAGATCAGCCATTTCTCTAAGGGTGAGTGTGCTGGAGAAGAGAGATAACATTTGAGGTGAGAGCAGACTGCTGAGCACTTAATTTAGTAGTTAGTGAAAGAGTAGGTTGTGAGACTTCAGTCTTGCTCAGAAAGTCTGGAGAATTCAGAATTCAAAATAGTTCTGATAGGTGTAACCTTTTTAAGGATATTAACTGATACTTTCAATATGTTCTTCTCATTAGCTTCTCTGTATGAATATGCCCAGGTGAAATCCTTTTTCTGCAGGATCAGGCAAGTACATTATTTTAGTTTTATTTTTGTGAAGCCTGGCAAAGGTACAATACTGGGCAGAAACTGTTCTATTGTTACAGCTGACCAGTGGGAGCTCATGAAACTCTATTACAAAATGGCCTTACGGTGTTTAGTATTGGCATCCAGTAGGACATTTTGAATAGTTTTCCCAGTGTGATGCGTAAACTTGCATGGGAACAGAAGTAAAACCGGTCATACATGTTTCTTTTGGACCTCTCAGTTTCCTTCAGTAATGTTATGCAGCAGAGGGATGATCTTATGAAAAAATTGCTACTTCCCCATTTACTCTTTGAGAGTAGAGGCAGATTGAGAGTAAGATTGAGAATTTGTGACAGAGGCATTGACAGAAACTCAGTCACCTGAGTCCCAGTGCGAGACCTGACTCCTGAGGTAGTGCTTATCGTTATGGGTACAGTTTGTTGCTTTGTACCTGACTAATCTAAAATAAGAAAAGAAATTGAGATTGGCCTTTGGTCTTCAGTGCAGTTCTATTCCAGACTAAGGTGATCTCTTGACTTCAGCAAGAACTGTTAGCTTCTTAGCAGATACAATACTTACTCCATCTTTCAGTTGATCGTTTATTCATTCATATGTGTTTGAAAAACCTGAGCTCTAAAATCACCTTTGTTTCTTGAATTGTGTAAGGGCAGCTGGAATAAATATAGCAGGACAGATAGCAATGTGAAGTTGGGAAAACAGTGTGTAGAATACATAAACATTTTGCAGTAGGTTTTCTTCATGTTCTCCTACAACATCTGTCTCTCCTTCCTTTACAGAACAGATTTTTTGATCGTGTTGACTTCATGAGTAAAAATATTTTTTCACAAGCACACACTAGGCTAAAGTAAGAAAATGTGGGGGTTTTGTGAGTTAAACTTCTGCTACATCCAATTTCCATTTGTATCTTTTCTTTTTCTAAAGGCAGAAGTGTCAGAAGTAGTTTTTATGAAAATAGCTTCTCTCTAGGAACATTTTTCAAAATTAAGTGTGTAGTAAGAAAGTAACTCTTAGTGTTAAGTGATAATGTCCAAAACTTTACCTCAATTCTTTCTGTCATAGCTGAGTAAGATACTCAGCTGCAACAGGTGAAAAAACACTTACAGTAGAAACAGGCAATTGCTAATGCAGCTGCTGCAAAGCCATGGTTAAGATTTCATCTCAAATGCTTGTGTGCTGCTGCTGTTCACACATCTTCTAGGAACACAGATTCTCATGGAGGGCTGTCAAAGAACAACTGTGAACTGAGGCTGGAGGAGTCTTACTTACCTAGGTCAGTGACAGAAAACCTGAGACACAATTTTTTTCCCTAAAAATACTACAGAATAAACATCAAGCAGAAAAAGAACTGTTTAACCTAAAGGAGAGCACAGGCCAAATGAATGGTTCTCATGACTACGTTTGGGCTGAGAATTGGAAGGTAGTCTTTAACAGTGAGAATAAGAGTATTTCTAGGCAGCCTTCGAATGCAACTATTGGAGGCAAAATGCCTACTTGATTTGAAGGGAGAGACGTCAGTACTGCTAAATGTGTTGACTTTTAATCGTAAGGGAGTGTGTGTAGGACCTGATTATCTGGGTCTGTGTGCTCAGCATACCTTCTCCTTGCAGGGCTCTCAGCACTGGTGCAAAGTATGTGAGTCTCAAACCCAGTGCATTAATCCCATTTGCTTTTCCTCAGGGGTGGTAGAGATCAAGAACAAGAAACACACTGTTACCCGTTCCGAATCACCCCGTACTTGGTCCATGTGTGTACTTCTGTCCATATGGATGCAGAATCCTGCTGCTTGGCTTTGGCTGAGAAAATTCACTCTGGATATGAAGGCAAGTCAGGAGAATCCAGTGGGAAAAACCCCAAGCCAATAGAAAACTGCAATGTATGAAAGTCTGCTGCCTTTTTTTAGAGCTTGTGCTTGGGGAGTCTCACCTGTGTAACTTGCAATTTCTGTGTGAATGCATGGAAATTCAGAGCATCTATGCTGCCTTGGCCAGGCCCAAAGCATTTTACCTGTCCGCACTATATTTATTTGTGAGAGAAGTCTGTAGCACCTAAAAAGCTGTAATGTTTCTATGAGTTAGTGGTCAGAAAACAGTGAACAACTAAGAAGTTCAGGAGCTAGTAAATCTCTGACATGAGCAAAAGTAATGCCTAAGTTTTCTGTCTTAGTGCATATTTTGTTTCTATTAGCTCCTCGAATTCCTATGGATAAAAGAATCTTCACCACCACTCACACCCCTGGATGTGTTTTTCTGGACATAGATGACAGGTGAGAGATTTGAGTCTTAAGACTTGTGAAGAATATATGGAGAAGTAGGAAAAAATCCTTAAGCAACTGGAGGTGCAGATAAAGTGTCTGAACTGTGCAATAGGCAGTGGTTAATTAAAACAGTTTTGTGTTGGTCCACTCATGGAAAACACACTGCACTGCACAGATGCAATTTCCTTTGTTGGCTTAAGACGTGTATTAAACAGACCCACAGGGCTGTGTGGAGCTGTGGTGGCACAAAGAGTGGGAAACATGCATTGTACAAAGCTCTGGGGGTCAGAGTGGTGATACAGCTGGACTGAGCTGGCTCGAATAAATTTGGCTAGACTGAAAAGCTGTCTCCTGCAAAGCCACAAGAGTGTTTTTCCAATACACCTTGCAGCATGCCTTTTGGATTTCTTACTGACATTTTGCATATGACTTCAAGATCCCTTTTTTTCCCTACGTTGCATGTAGACAAGTACAAAACTATCTGCAAATGTGAACATCTGTTAGAACTCCAGGCACGGAAAGGTTTGTCGTGGGTATTTATATGTCTGTATTGCAGCAGAGGATTATTAGATGGGTTGGAAAATGTTCTGTAGCTTTAGTTGATTGCATTGTACATCATGCATGGGCACTTCACTGACAAGCAAAGGGTTAAGGATGTAAGTACTCAAAACTCTACTACAATCTGTTATAATGTGTTTGGGTTTCAGAGCAGTACCTTTGTTGGGTTACCTACCTCAAGATTTAATTGGAACATCCATGCTGATGTATTTGCACCCAGAAGATCGTCCTTTGATGATTACTATTCACCGGAAAAGTAAGTACCACTGCTCTTAGGGGAGTTTCTGTTGGTTTTACAGTTCTTTCCTTATCACATGGCTTGGCATGTGACTGATCTGCAGTCTAGACAAAAATTAATTAATAAATTAATTAATGCAGTCAGTTTGAGATCGAAGCAAATCCAGTCCCAAGGTTTTAGGGACCTCAGTCATTAGTGTTTGTGCTTGCACTACTGTGTCATAATGTAAATTAAATTTTGTTTCTTGATTTTGGTCTTATTTTCAGTTCTGAAATTTGCTGGCCAACCCCCTTTTGAACATTTGCCTATTAGATTTTGTACTCAAAATGGGGATTATGTCACACTGGATACCAGCTGGTCCAGTTTTGTGAATCCTTGGAGCAGGAAGGTAGTGTTCATCATCGGCCGACACAAAGTCCGGACGTAAGTCAGTTGTACAATTCATCTATTGAAGAGCTTATTCTACAAAACAAAAGAGTCAAAGGACAGAACTAGAGATGTAATGTTGCTCTTGAAGGTGTGACATCTACCTAGCATCCGTCTTCAGCCCATTCCTTCAGAACATCATTAGTCTTGTTTATTAAGTATGAAAATAAATTGGTTAAGTTGAAATCAAAGGCAAAGTGAACTGGTTTTTAAGCATATTTTGCCTGTGGTTGATGTCCAAGTACTTTGACACTGGACATGTCTAAATCAAAATACCAGTTTGAGACAAGTGAAAGCTAAAAAGCAACATGAAAAGTGGGTCACTTGACCAATTACTTGAATTTCATTCCTGATTGGATCACCCAAAAAAACCCAATTAGTTGATCTGCTGGCTTGTTTACTTCTGGAACATTCACTTGATACAGAATCTAAATATTTACCAAGGTAATCCCATTTAACAGTGCAGTTAGTATTGAATCTGCAGGTTACATTTTCAGATGTGTCTCCTTAGTTTCCAAGAGATTTGAAAATATGACTGACTGCCTTCTTATCTGATTTCTTTTATAGGAAATGGCTTTTTGGGATGGCCTTCTGACATTTCAAAGTGATCTTTTATTCAAGATTTTATGGGGTGTGAATTTGTCTTCTGAGTGAAGGAGACAAAGGGGTAGATGCTTGTCAACCTTAACTCCTATCTCTGCTGGTTCATTGACTTCCTTGGAGCTTCCCTGCTCTCCTAGCCCTGCCCTACCACCCCAGCAGAGCAGCTGTTGGGACAGATGACATTCCTTTGTGTTGATTCAGTGAAGTAGTCAAACTAAAATAATGATAATAAAATAATCTGTGCTGTTTATAGCTACCTTCTCAGATCAAATTAAAATTAATAGTGAAATATTGTTGGCTCTCTCCAGAAGCCCTCTGAATGAGGATGTTTTTGCTGCAAGAAGTAAAGAGATGAGCAGTGTGGAGAAAGAGATAAAAGAATTGCAAGGACAAATTTACAAACTGCTTCTGCAGGTAAAGAAGACGAAAGAGTTTCAGAACACTAGCTGGCTAAAGAAACTTGAGTCTGCTTAATGGGCTGCTTTGGGGATGATCTTTCAAAAGGTCTGAAAGGAAATTTCTAAATGGAGACAGGCCCACCTGATTAGAAAAAAGTACTTTGTTTGACATTTTTGCCAAGTCTTTATGTTGAAAGACAGGTCTGCATCATGAAAACAGTTTGAAGCAAGGTAGAGAATTTCTCCCAAGCAAGTGGCAGAGTCCAGACAGATACTGACTTTTCACTTGATTTTCTTTGTTTACTTGAAGTTCTGTGTTGCAGACTCTGTTGTTTCCTTCATTTTGTTATCTTAAGAGGAATTTTTTTTTTAGTTACTGTTTTTCCCTTTACACAGCCAGTTCACAGCAATGTTTCCAGTGGTTATGGAAGCCTTGGAAGCAGTGGCTCTCAGGAGCACTATATCAGCATAGCATCTTCAAGTGATTCCAATGGCAATTGTGCAGAGGAAGTACAGGAACCAGTAAGTGTATAAATGTGCAACTGCCTGCAGAGTAGTAAAAATAGTTTTAAAAATGAAAATGTTTACTGCGTACATAAGCACTTCTCATCATGAATTTTACTGAAATGGGAAGATACAGCTATGTTCCAGCTAAATTGGTCATTCAACATTCAAATGCTGAGGCTGTTTGAGTTTATCATAGTTAATTTACTTAAATTAACCATAATAATTGGATTAAATAAATTTTAAAACACCAGTAGATGTTGGCTTAGGCTGACAGTCTACTGCCTTTCAACCTGAAGAATACAAGCACCCAAGCCAACTCCTATGGGCATTTGTGTTCATTTTATTCTGACTTCATGTTTTTCACATCTCTCAAGAAGACACTGCAACAAGTTTGTGCCGATGTCAACCGAATAAAGAATCTGGGGCAGCAGCTGTACATCGCGTCCAGGAGCAGGCCCCAGGATGGAAGTGAACAGGCTGTGAGCTCAGGAGTGCTAGAGGGTAAGTCAGTGTGGTTATGATCCCTAAGGTAACATGAACTCCTCTAGATCTGTAGCTGCCAGTTCTGGTGTTATGCTGAAGAACTTCAGGTAGCATTTTTAGCATGGCTTAAGCAAGGGAAGTGGTTTGTTTTGTTTTAAAAAAATCAAAACCCAAGGAAAAAAAAAGCCCAGACTCACCCCAAAAAAATACCCTCAGCAGATGCAATAACTTTCTAACTGCTGCTTGAGATGCAGAGGAGGAGACTCTTACTTTTTAATTTATATTGACATTTTGGAGTGAAAGTGTACGTGCTTGTAGCAAGTACTGTGGGAGTGTCCCTTAGTTACAGTCCACAGGCTGGACAATACTGCCCCACTTCCCACTGAAGGAGGGGTTCAGTTCCTCTGTGTGTAATATTATGCTAATGCATATTATTTGCAGTTACTGCAAATATATGGAGAAACCTGGATGCTTCCTGAGATGCCATAGAAATCTGAATTAAAACATTTTGCACCATGATACTCGCTGTGCTGGTGTGCTCCTAGAGGACTGCACTATCAGTGTTGATAGGACTCTGACCAGTGTAGCCATGATATGAAAAGCTGTGAATTGCTGTTAAATAACAGGTTGGATTCTGTGATGACTTGAAAGAAGTAATATTAATTGCAGCTTTGTTTACAGTTTAAATGCAGGGGGTTTTATATGCTGTTTTCTTTGTGTTTACTAGTTCTGAGTGGATGTTTAAGGTGATGGGGGGGATGTTTGGCTTTTTTCAGGCATACTTTCTTTCCCCTTCTCTTCTCTTTCCCCTTCTCTTTCCCCTTCTCTTTCCCCTTCTCTTTCCCCTTCTCTTTCCCCTTCTCTTTCCCCTTCTCTTTCCCCTTCTCTTTCCCCTTCTCTTTCCCCTTCTCTTTCCCCTTCTCTTTCCCCTTCTCTTTCCCCTTCTCTTTCCCCTTCTCTTTCCCCTTCTCTTTCCCCTTCTCTTTCCCCTTCTCTTTCCCCTTCTCTTTCCCCTTCTCTTTCCCCTTCTCTTTCCCCTTCTCTTTCCCCTTCTCTTTCCCCTTCTCTTTCCCCTTCTCTTTCCCCTTCTCTTTCCCCTTCTCTTTCCCCTTCTCTTTCCCCTTCTCTTTCCCCTTCTCTTTCCCCTTCTCTTTCCCCTTCTCTTTCCCCTTCTCTTTCCCCTTCTCTTTCCCCTTCTCTTTCCCCTTCTCTTTCCCCTTCTCTTTCCCCTTCTCTTTCCCCTTCTCTTTCCCCTTCTCTTTCCCCTGCCTCGTAACATGACTTGAGATGAAAATGCAGAATGAGTCAGTAATGAGAGCTGTGCTGTCATAGGTTATATGTCCTTCTATATCCGTGTATATATGTCTGTGTTTTGTTGAGGGCAGTGTTTAGATGCCTTTTAGAGGAGTCTTTGAAGGTTTCCTCTCTTCTAGGGAAGAGGCACTCTGCTTCCTGTTTTCTCCCCACATTGAGAAGTGATAGCACAGAAGAACCAGGCAACATGTTTTATGATGATCCAAAGAAGATTCAGCATGTTCCTTCCTATCAGCAGATCAATTGTGTTGATAATATCATCAGGTAATAAACTATGAAATACTTTTAGTGCTATAAGTTGAAGTTTAATTGGTGGAAGGTAGATATCCAAGGAGTTTGCTTCGGCCTTAAACTGTCTGGGGTTCAAGTTGTGAGAGAAATGTGGGGTTGTTTGTAAAGCATTCTGCCTCTGACTGAGCTTTGGGATGGATTGCCTAATCTCAATCACACAGTAGTGAAGAATTTAGGATATATAGTCTGTTTGCAGGTATTTGTTGGTTTGTCTACTTCTAATTTCACCATGGGTGCAATGGGAATTTAAGTGAATTCTGATGGGCATAATATGTCAGTGTCTTCTTGTTGCATGCTCTGAGAACATCTGTATAAAACTGAAAGTTGATGCAGTTTATAAAACATTGGTATTTTTTAACCCAGTGGATAATGTAATCTTTTTCTTTTTTCTTTCTTTCTTTCTTTTTTTTTTTTAAAGAGTGATAGATTTTTTTAAAAAAATACTCCTTGGAAAGCAGATACGTGTCCTGAACTTCCTACAGGAGTTAAAAAAACTAGTTAACAGCCTCTGGATCTCCAGTTTGGATTGTTCAAATGTTTGTATCTCCAAATGGAGAAAAAAAGCACAAAGTAGGGAGAGCTTCCTGTGATATGCTTTCATTTCAGATATCTAGAGAGCTGCAGTATTCCAGCATTGAAAAGAAAATGTAAATCTTCTGCAAATGCATCATCATCATCTTCAGAAGATGACAAGCAGGTCCAGCAAAGTCAGCAGGTAGTCAAGGCATTGGAAGGTAAGACAAAGTATACTGACAATTGTAATACACCTGCAACAACTGATTTAATTTTGATATGTCACTGTTGTGTGTTCCAGAGTTTATATCCACTTTTAAAATTATTGTCATGCTAACAATATTTTAGTTACATGGTAAATATTTGCTTACCTTGCCTAGATCTCACAGTTAAGCAGAAGCTACAATATTAAGTCTTTGAATGTACAGTGCTCCAAAGAACTATTACTTGTTGTTGCTAAGTGAACCTTCCGTTGTTTGCTCATTTTTTGCCTTGTGTAGTATATGCTGACATTGCACTGGCATATGGATGTTTAGCGTATATAAGACTGTCTTGTTTAGTTGCATAGTTGTATGCATAGTTACTGGTTATTTCTGAACCAGTCAGACTTGATGAATTGGGAGCATAGTGCTTGGAATGAAAGTCCATGTAGACACTTTGTCATTTGCCAATAGGTACTGCTACACTGTCCCACACTCCAATATCTGCTGGTCTGGAAGAGACACTGAAAGATGAGACAGCTGCAGGCACGGTGGGAGCTCCTCTGCCAGACCTGACCCTGTCTAACAAGGCTCCAAGTGTGGTGTCTGTCACCAGCCAGTGCAGTTACAGCAGCACTATAGTGCACGTCCCACACCCTGAGTCAGGTACTGCTCACACTCACGAAACACTGACTTGGCTTATTGACTATTAAATGCACACACCTTTCCAGGCTGCAGTACACTCTGAGAAAGCTTTGTCCATTTAAGATACTTTCTCATGAATGTGAATTCTGAAATGTTTTTAAGGTACTTCTTGGGACACTGTGAAGAAAACTTGAAACTGGAAGCTTTGAGAGTATTTTAGTTAAACAGTTTTAACACGCTGTGCTATTTCCTTTCCCCTTGAAGTTCGTCGCATTTATCGCAAACACAACAGTGTGCTTTTTGCCCCTGAGAATTAAAAGAAAAATGGCTAATGGGCCAGTGCTACTTCACATTAGTGCAGAAAGAAGCATAAAAAGGAGTATTTAGCTGCTCTCGTACTAAGAAAATACCAAGAAAGAAGTGTCTCTGTAACTGAAAAGTGAATTTTTAGTTTTCCAGACCATGCAAAGTCATTTACTCAGTTGATGTTAGTGTAACTGTATTTGAGTGCAAAGGGTGTTTCCTCCCCCTGCCTCTGCAGCCTGTATCTGCTTGCTAGCTCAGGTGAGATTGTTTTCGGTGTAACCCTCTGGGTGTTGTGGGAGTTGACACCAGAAGGCCAGAACAAAGAGTGATTTATTTTCTTCCCTCTTCAAAGAAGTGACTACAATGGAGGATGCTGCAGTTGGAAGCGAACAAATTGAGCTGCCTCCTGTGAATGCTCAGAGTCTTGGGATGTTGCCTGAAGACGTAAAGCCAGTTGGGCTAACAAAAGAGACGTTATCAGCCCACACTCAAAAGGAGGAGCAGAACTACGTTGACAAGTTCCGACAGAGGATCTTGCTCTCTCCATTTAGGACTTACCTTCAGCAAGGAAGCAGAATTAACAACAGACATTCCTGTGGCCAAGGTAGGCAGCGGCTTTGAGAAATAAAGACCTGTTAGATGATAGGCACATGGTGTGATTCTTGGGGATGTTGTGTGCAAGGCCGGGAGTTGGATTTGATCCTCGTGGGTCCCTTCCAGCTCTGAATATTCCGTGATTCTGTGATTATCTGTGACTTACAAAATCCAACCGAACAATGGAGTCTGGTTCTCCTTTGTGTGATTTAGTGACTGTCCCGCTGTGGCTGTAAACAGAATGCTTCCTTTGAACTGCTGGGCTTTGACTGCAGCATTGGCTGCATGGAAGGTCTACTCCATCTAGGATCTTGTTCTCTGTCATGGTATCTTGGTGTCTGTCTGAGCTCTTCAGACTTTTCACAAAGCAGATAATTATTGCAATAAAGCCTGCAAATCTCAGGTAGTTAGTTTATTGCCTTCCCTTGAAAGAATATAAAAGATCTGATTGGGATAAGCCAAAGAGATGGATAAGAAAATTGATGACATGAAGGGAAATACTGTAGATAGGTTAGCAAATCCATCACCAAGTTTATGGAAGAATTATCCAGAGGAAAGTCAGCTCTCCGAATAAGCCACACTCAGTTGTCTTGGTGTTTTTATCTTTGTGGGGTTTTGTGGCGTTGTTTTTTTCTTTTTCCCTAAGTTTGTCATTTCAGTGAATGTGTCTATTTTTGTTTCTCCTCCTTAGGAGATTCCCCTTCAAAGCAGATGAGCCCAGCTAACTGTAAAAAAGGCAAACGTGGAAAATTCAAGCACCAGAAACCTCAGAGACAGTCCTCAGATATCCACTCTTCTAGTAAAAATAGAAGTAGTCTTCCGTGTGAGAAGAGAAAAACTCAGAATCAGTTGTTCTCTCCCTCAGAAGTGTCCTGTCTGAGCTCCTCCAGTCTGAATGTCCATCTTCCTATGGGATTTCCTGTCTATTTGGATCCACTGTCTGGTTTTCCAGCCTCTTCTGCAGGAGAAGAGCTCACCCTTCACCCATTACAACCCGAGTTCATGTCATCGTCACAGCTACACTGCAAAGCACAGTCATGCCCAGCCCTTTATCCCCTCGACATAGGCACATTTATGGCTGTATTTTTTCAGAGTTTCCCCATGTATGCTCAGATGCCTCAAAATGTCTTTCTTCCTAGCCCTCAGTTTGTTTATCCCTTCTCTTCATATCCATGCACTACACTACCTCCAGCCCCTTCTCCTTCTGCTCCATCACCAGTAGCACCCCACTCTGTGAATCAGCCCTTTCCAGCCTCTTCACACACAGTCATGGAGAGCCAGCAAGGAGGCCAGAGTGAGCAGGCTCTGCTGCTGAGCAGCTCACGGAGCAGCTCCCCACTTCAGCTGAATTTGCTTCAAGAAGAGCTACCGAAACCTATGGAGCTTTCCATTAGTGCTGCTGTTAAACCACACGCAGAAGCGAAATGTGTAAGTAACACGAGTTTTTAATGTAGAAGACAAACTGACTTTCACAGTGTTCTGTCACCAAAACCAGTGATGATGATCTGTGTTTCAGGGACACAGATTTTGTTAGCTGCTTTTTCTGTTGGCTGTGCTATGTAGGCTGCAGGACACAAATAGCACAGGAGGAGGAGAAAGCTGTTTATACTTGCACCCATGGGAACTTGTAACAGTACAGTGTGTGGCTCTTAACAAATGCCAGAAATGTGAGAGCTGGTCTAGGCTGCCACAAGCTGCTTCTGGTCAGTATTTTGTCAGCAGCCTCTTCAGTTGAACTCTCAGCTAGAATTTTGGGTTTGGGGCTTTTATGCATGTGGAACTTGGTTAGTGCTGCGCAATTTGCATCCTTTTTCAACCAGTCCCACAGTCTCTGGAGAACCAAAACAAAGGGAAGATACACTTCTAATTACTCCCTCTGTCTCCCAGGGATGCAGCTAATGAACGAAGAACAGGGATCCGTGTGGGTCGGTTTCCATACATGGGCATAGAAAAGGCCTCTCCAGCTTCCGCGGTAAACTCAGAGGCAGGAATCTGAGCTCTGCAGGCAAGGAAAAAAATGTTGGCTCCTGAATCCAGGTTGGGCTGGAAAGGCTGGATCAGCTGAAACTGCAGGGTAGGGTCCTGAAAGGGGAGTTGGTGAACCTGTAGCTGCTGAAGCAGTTGCTTCGCATAGTGGATCAGGGGAAGACTCTCTCGTTCTCCCTATAGTGCACCATTGCTTAATGTGTGTGGCTGCTTCATGCCATCCAACAGGATGTGAAGGGAACTGACTCCTTCTCTCTTACCAGTGGAAAAATGTTAACTTTATGCAACAGTACAGTATCTTGACAAAGTGGGGAAGGAAAACAGGAAACAGTAAACTGGAGTCCAGATGCTTGTTGATTTTCACCCATGAAGTGTTGTCAGAGTTCTAGACCACCATTCATTTTCAGAACTATAAACTCCAAACCTGTTGAACTCATGTGAATGAGAACTTAATCAACGTGTGACAAATTCAGTAAATGCATGAATTGCCTTTTGCAAACTTAAATGTAACTTCCACGGGTGTGCTGGTTTTGCTTTTTGTCTCCAGGACAATGATCCAGAAGATAGCAGTAACAATGCTTCTCGTGAATTTCCTGACCATTCACTGTACAAGGACTCCCAGTCGGGTACAGGTTCAGCTGTATCAGGCAGTGGATCAACTTTATCTGATTATTTGGACTCTAGCTTCAATGAAGCTTCTGGTCATGGCCCAGGTAGGGAAGTTCAAGATCTAGATGTTTGGTGCTAGATGACTTTCTAACATTTAATTCATGACAATGTAGTGGGAATGGGAAATACCTTTAAGAGGACCTGTAGCCTTTACTTTTCTCCAGCTTTCAGTGTTTGAAGCCAAGTTTGTTTCAGTCACTGTAGCTGCAAATGTGAATCTGAGGTGCTGTTTCTTTAACCTGGAAGTCACTCATTTTGCTCATTACCACTTTTCTCTGCATTAGATACTGGCATTTTACTTGAGTGAAGGTAAATCTGCCTAGAGCAGGACCTCTCAGAAGCAGAGAAGTTGAGCCAGTTAATTTTCAGAAGAGTGAACAGAGCTTTGAAGATGTTTAATAACTTAACAGAATGTACTTTATCTTTGACCTCTCGATATGTAGTAGTTGCTTGAGCAATCGTCTGGGAGTACCTGTGTATGCATTACAGAACTAAGTTGCAAGAATACACTGGTGGTGTTTTACTTTTTGTGCTGAATTACTAGGATTTTTCATGGTCATTCTCAGCAGGTAGTGGGAAAAGCAGCAAGTATTTTGCCAGTAATTACTCTTCTGAAACTTCCAAAGAAGAGAGGAATCAGGAAGCAGAAGAAAAAGGGACAGCTTATAAATTGAAACATGAGTCAGCCTGGGTGATGATGGATCACACACCTGAGCGAGTTCTAATGAATTACCAAATGCCAAACAGGTTGGAAAACATCAACAATTTCTGACATGTAGTTTGGAATTGTGCATAGAACTGTAGAATTAAAATGAGACCATGGAAATAGCATGCATACCAATGAAACTCCAAGAAGGTGTACTGGTCTACTTTTCTGCAACTTAGGCCCTGGTTATTTACATTTATCTACTTTTTCCCCATTTCTCCATCAGTTAAAATGAGGTAACATATAACCTTTTGGATGAAATGTATTTGTTATTGTCCTGTACTTTGAATGCATAAAAGGGTAAAAATGCAGGTTATTTGCAAGTTGCCTACAATTAACTTACATATAATTTGTAACAAGATTTCACATTTTTTTAAAAAAGGCACACAAAGCCATACAACAAAATTAAAACCACCCCACATCAAACACCCAAAAACTCACAACAAAAGCAACAACAAACAAACCAGTGTTGAAGGCAGTAGCAAAAAGCAAATAAGGTACAAAGGACGTACAGTTCTGCTTCAGTAGCTGATGCTGTCTAGGCTTCAGCCATAGATACTGGTGAAGAGACTCACAGTGTGAGTATAGTCAGTGCTGGCCTTGTTTCATATAGTACAGCTGTGTTCACAGTGTCTGTACCTGCAGGATTAAAGAGGAGGTGTTAAAGCAGGACCTGGAGAAGTTGGCAGTCATGCAGAAGCAGCAGCCTTGGTTTACGGATGGGCAAAAGGAGGAGCTCGCAGAGGTGCATACATGGATAAGGACCCAGACGGTTCCGCTGCAGATCAGCACCCAGGTGAGCAGGGCTGAGAAGACTCTGCAGCTCCTTCCTGCCTGGGCTAACCAGGGCCATCTTACCCCACAGTGCTGGGGTCACAGATGTCAGTGTAAGCAGGAATTGGGCTGGAGTACTACAATAGTGTCGTGGTTTACCCCCAGCATCAGCCAAGAACCAACAGCCACTCACTCACTGCCCCACCAACGGGATGGGGGAGAGAATCAGAAGGGTAAAAGCTACAAAAACTCATGGGTTGAGATAAAGACAGTTTAATAGAGAAAGCAAAAGCTGCACACACAAGCAAAACAAAACAAGGAATTAATTCACTGCTTCCCACAGACAGGAGGTGTTCAGCATCTCCAGGAGAGCAGGGCCCATCACGCATAACGGTTCCTTGGGAAGACAAACACCATCACTCCAGATGTCCCTCCTTCCTCCTTCT